CTTTGAGTTCCTTTGAATTTTCACTGTGAATTCCTGTATTTTTAGATATTTCCTTACCAGCGAGTTTTCTATGATAATCACCTCATTTTGAGAGTTTCGCTGAGAATCCCATTACTCTGAGAGTTTACCCTGAATATTTCTCCTCCATCTTGACTATTTACACAGAAAATATACCAAACCTAATCTTTTCTTTCTCGCTGTAATTTTCACGTTTAAAATGGAAGTAAATTTAACCTCCACCGAGCTAGTGTTTATCTACTAGCCTAGAATACGTGCTTGAAGAACTTGGTAATACATTGTAACACCAACTTAAATACTCAGGTGTTTTAATAAGCGTAAAATACCAACTTGTATAAGGGTGAATGGAACATCAACTGAATGGGGGATTATCATTCATTGCAAATTAAATACAACGTTAGAGTAAAAGGGTAATTTACCGATGCGTATTTTGGTTGCCAGTACGCTTAATGACATGGTAAAATTAAAGGTAATTTCTCCATACTACAACACGATGAGGTACAGAAAGCCTTAACGATTACCATAACTAAAGATAACTCTATATTTTACCATTTTTTTTCTATTATGTTCAATGGAATGGCAAAACCTAGCCAATATAACCTTTACAAAATATCTGATATTCCCAGTATGCTCTGTGCCTCCTCCTACCCCTCCATACACACAGTCCGCTTACAATACCCTCCATTCCTCTGCTGGCCGTATGAGGGTAAACACAGATGAAACACACCACTTTAATATCCGACAGTCTACGGGGTTTAAGCTTCAAGTTTCAATATGAACGTGCACAAGTATCATTAATAAACACACCAGGAGGTCTTATACTCTAATACAGACATCCACACACACACACACACACACACACTTTGTTTTAGTACTACGAAGGTCATACTAGATACGCAATGAGGAGGAACAAGTGGTAAGGAGTTTCCATAGTTGATATTAGACCCAAAAGTATGACCACCCAGAGACTGTATTCCAAACGTTGACTTTAATTACGTAACAAGAGAACACGTGATGTTACTGTTGAGTTCCAGTGCAATTTTGACGTCATTACATTTGCATCACTGTGACCTAACACGAATGTGCCCGTTAGATGCGCTCACACATACTCACGTAAGGGAGAAAATTTAACGTCAGATCGTTAGAGAATCGAGCCCATGGTATATAAGAGTAGGCACAGCTAAGCACATAAGGGGATGGGAGTGCTGAACGGTAAATAGTTTTGCAGTTCGTTACATCTAAACCAGGAATTACCGAGTTATCTCTCAAACGCCAGGGCTGCTTCACGTGTCTGTCAGGAAGAACATGGAATTACTCGTAACGGAGGCGTATGGTACATCCTAAAGGTGTACCTCAATACTCTAGTTAATGCTACACAAAAATCTTATCACTGATACTCAAGAGGAAAAAATATTACTCTCGTCCCTCACAAACCAAAGATTAAAACACTGTGGTGACGGGAGAGGAAGATCTAGCCTTGATGACACTCCACTGTTGAAGACCAGCAAGACCAAAGAAGGAGAGAGAGGGGAAAAAGTCTAGATTAATATCCCACGAGCAAAAGACCAAAATTAAAATCGACATATCAGAACCGTTTCGATCAGTCCCGCGTCTTAGTGGTGCGGTACGAGTTAGCGGGGGTCCGTCTGTCTGAGGGGCTTTGATGTCAGGATCTCACGAGCGAGAGAAATTACCTTCAACTCTGATGAGGTTCACTTTTTTTTATATTACTGATTACCGGCTGCCTCGACCACTGCTGACAACCTGACGTTCTCCTGCTGGGAGCCCCTGCTGAGCACTTTTGATGGGGTTCTTACTGGAGGGGTATTAGGTTTATGGCCAAGTGCTCTTGCCGGGGCTTCTGCTTTGGGATTTCTGCTTTGGGATTTCTGCTGGTGATTCCTGTTTAGTGTTTTTGCCGGGGCTCCTACATGGGATTTCCAATGGGTATTCCTGCTGGAAGATCCTGGTGAGGGTTCTTGCCAAGGGGTCCAACAGATGTTTCATACTCTACTATCCTGATGGTGGGACTTCTGCTGGAGGGACTTGCTGGAGGAACTCTTGTTAAGGGCTCTTGTTGGAGGTTACTGTCATGGGTTCGTTCCTTATTAATGAATCCTTCTCTCACAAATATTTACCAAAACATTAAACTTGACGAGGACTAGAGTTATCATCTATACAGGCTATCACGTTCGAACACAGCGGATTCTCAGAAGCATAAAACTTTAAAGGTATATAAAGTGAGTAGTCCTAAAGCGAAATCCTAAAGTTCTCGCAGAGTAAATAACTGAGGTATTAATCTCTCGAGGACACTGAGTGAGTTCTTTGAGACATTAGACCTCGCGAGAACACCCAATAATTTCTTGAGACATAAAACCAGTTGAGGAAACAGTAAAATATATTTTTTTTCTCAATCATTAACTATTTTGCGTGTGGCCAATAACTAATGTAAGACATAATAACTAGTGAACATTATGTAAGTTCCTTCAAGCATTAAACCTCATAAGACCACATAGTGAGTTAATTGAACTTTTTGAGCAACATGAATGAGCCGAGACAAAAAAATTAAGGAAACAAAATTAGTTCCTCCAGGTAAAAAAAAAATACTGAGGACACCAAACAAGGTCACACACACACACACACACACACACACACACACACACACACACTTCTGAATATACGAATAACCTCTCTTGAGACTAAATATTATATGGTGTCTCAGAAAAAGAAATTGAGCAAAACTTTTCTAGAGTACTAAATGAAATCTTTGAGGCATAAAACCCGGCAAGAAGAGTGAGTGAGTGAGTGAGGTGTGGGGGCGGGGTGCGAGGGAAGAGGGGGGGGGTGAGGATGGGCTGAGGAGTGGTAGGGGAGGAGGAGGGTGAGGAGAAGGCAGGGAGGAAGAGGACGTTAGGGAAAAAGGGGACGGATATAGAAGAGAAAGGTGGAGGAAAGAAGGTGGAAGAGGAGGGTAGGGAGGAGAAGGAGGAGAGTAGGGAGGAGGCTAGAGGAGAGTTGGGATGAGGATGGGTAGAGGTAATGATCAATAGGAAAAAGGGGAATGGAAGGTTAAAGGAGTAGAAGGGTAGGAGGGAGGAGGAGGACAGGAGGGTAGGGTAGGGAGGAGGGAGGGGTAGGAGGAGGAGGGTAGGAAGGAGTGGGTAGGTAGGGTAGGGGAGGAAGGTAGGGGTAGGGGTAGGAGGAAGGTAGGGGAGGAAGGTAGGAGGAGGATAGGTAGGGTAGGGAGGAGGTAGGTAGGAGGAGGTAGGTAGGGTAGGGAGAGGGTAGGTAGGGGAGGGTAGGGTAGGGGGAGGAGGTAGGGTAGGGAGGAGGGTAGGGTAGGGAGGAGGGTAGGGTAGGGTAGGGAGGAGAGGAGCGTGTTAGACCACTTCCATCAGCTGAGATAATAACGTGGACGGGGAACAGTGACCAATTTCTGTGTGTGAGTGGAAGATGATGGATTGTGTGAGGCGGCCGGGCTGGAGGCCACGGGATCTCCTCTACCTCCTCTCTACCCCCCCCCGCCCTCTCTCTCTCTCTCTCTTTTTTTATCCATAATTTTTCCTCGATGCCATGTTTCCTTAATCTTTCTTTTCTTAGTCTTATGATTCGTTCTATTTTCCTTTCTTCCTCATTTAATTTCCTCTCTTTCGTCATATCATTTTCCTTTAATTTCTCTTCTCTTCGTCAATTCCTCTTTTTCTTCTGTTCGTATTATCACTTTTCTCTTCTCGAATTGTCTCTCAATCCTTATCTTTATTTCCTACATTTTAATTTCCCCCTTTATTATGTTTTTCCTTTTTTCTTTTGTTCTCCATAATTATCCCATTTCCTCTTTATACCTTTTATTTATCGTTAACCTTCTTTTAATTGCTTTTTTTTATTATCCATATATCTCTTCATTTACATAATTCCTTATCTCTTTCTTTATCATTACCTCTACTTCCTTATTTTCACACTTATTTATTTTTCTCTCGCTATTACATCACTATTTACATTTAATTATTTTTACTACTTTCTTTATTTTCTTACATTTTTTTTTACATATTTTATTTTCTTTTCTAATTTAATATCAATCTCTCTTTTTCTCTCTCACTTTTCCTTTCCTTTCTCTTTCCCTTTATTACTTTATTATCATTACCTCTCGCATATATCTTTTATTCTTCCTCTCATCCTTATTCTTCTTTATATTTGCCTATCTTAACGCTTCTTTTCTCCACCTTGTTATTCTTCGATTTTCCACTTCCCACCTACGTATTATTTTACTCCTCTCATAATCTATATTTTAATCTATATTTTCCTATCTTCTTCTTTTGCTTTGCCTTGTTATTCTTTAATCTTCGTCCCCTTCCTACAAAGCCTAGAGGTTATTGTTTTCACTTTACAGCTTGGTGTTTGTTTAAGTGTGTGTGTGTGTGTGTGTGTGTGTGTGTGTGTGTGGAGAAAACACCTCACAAACTGATTCACCGATACAACTGAAACACGACACAAGGGTTGACGTCCAAAGAAAACGTACATTTAAAAATTACTCTGTCCCGTTTTCTATCATCTTTCTACCGATATTTGGGGGGACTAAACCAGTGGGAATTGATGATGGCCGTTCGTCCGCCCGTTACTATCAAATTTGGTTTCCGTTCGATAACTTGCCATAGACTAATTGCATTGACTCTAAATTTGGTGTGGATGAGTAGTACGACGAGTTAGTGTTTGGGAGTGAAGGGTGAGAGGTTAACCTATGTAGTTTTAGTGTTATGGGTATTTTAAGAGGTCGAGTATGGGGGAGGGAGGGAGGGGGAAGACGTCGTGTATAATGGCTCTCTTTTAGTTGTATAATTTGATTGAGAAAATAATTTACTTGTTGATCGTCTAGGAAATAACATCATTACGAAAAGTTTGTTAATTGTTAAGGAAATTTGTATTTTTATTTATGGCAGATTTGAATTTATTATTTTCTTGGCTCATTTATTTTCTCTTTCTTCCAGATCCTAGCGTTCGTCAATGGAAGTTCCATCTTCCTCAACAAGACTGTCAATTCCTCTACTTTCACCTACCAGTTGGCACCCCTCATCCCAGGTCACATCTACTCCGTCAGTCTATCAGCGCATTCCAAGATGGGGGAGGGACCATCCTCTCAACCAATCAGGCTACAGACAGACCCAGCCTTGCTCAACCCACTAGCCAATCGCCACGCAGGGTCAGAGGGCGTGGTGCGAGAGGCATGGTTCATCGTGCTGGTGGGAGGGGCCATGTTCTTCCTCTTGATGGTGTTCGTGGTTCTCCTCTACATCAGGAGGTTCCACAACAAGGCCTCCAAGCTACCCACACTCAACGGTCAGTACAACAAATAAATAATAAATAATTATAAACGTAAAGCATTTTTCCCCTCTATATATCTCTACCTAAATAAAAAAACCAACCATTTATGCCAATACATCCATATTGGCCAACCTCAATTATCAGTATTTTATTTTATTCCATTTTTGTTCTACCTAGTTTGTTTTTGAGGGTGAAATATGTGCTCGTTATAAATACAGTAACGTCATGAACACAAGTGAACCGCCCTCAGTGATCAATACGAACATTCCTTTCTCTTAATTCTATATCCTCTTTTGCATATATAATTCGTTTTTTTTTTTCTTTTTCATTCTAAAGTAACTAACGTCACTAACTTCAAAACTCCGCCTTTAATAACAAGTACAAATCATTTTCATCTAATTCTATGACTTTTGATAAACCCCAACACAAATATTTACGTTGAATTGTAATTTATATAAAGAGTGTAAATGGGAGGACGGCCCAAAGCGAAGGTAAGACCTGAAAAATTAAAGCAGTAATGGATGTGAGAATCGAACCCACGTCTAGAGCTGTGGAAACCAAGCGCTTTAGTCTAGTGGACCATTACTATCCCCAGAAACTAACTAGAAATTGAAGTTAAGGCATTGAAGTGTTGCCCTAGAATCAATACATTAAAAATTACTGCAGCAACACAAGCAACACTGTACATATAGTGAAACCTCCATATAACGGACTTCTCTCTCCATATAATCCGTTTGATGGAAATTTCACATATAATATACCCTTGATATAACGGACTTTCATCGCCGTATATTCTGTTAAATAGAAGTTTCACTGTATCAGCTATTTTCTGTTTTAGTTCATTTCTCCCTTGAAGTAATTTTCGTCTGAGACTTTAAATACTAATCAACAAATCCTCCCACGTAAGACCGCTCCTGCAGTTCCTACAGGTACACACGACCCACTGAACATGAGTCAACAATTTCTCGACAGGTATTAAGGTCTTGACGATAATGACAAAGGCAATGATATATTCTAGTCTTTTAACATACATGCAGGTCTTAAGTTTATATCACTCACTCACTCACTCACTCACTCACAGTCTACGCATCATTAATCAACATTTTCTCCACAAGAACTGAAGAGTCCAGATGTTAATGACATTAACCACAAAAAGACACTTCCATCTCTTCTAGACAAAGAGTAAAAAGCTCATTATACGCGTGTGTGTGTGTGTGTGTGTGTGTGTGTGTGTGTGACAGGACAATCCAAACACACGTTAATTATCTACACAAACGTGAGTCTAAACAAACTCTCAACAATCCAAACAAACGCTGATATTCCAAACAAACAAATCAGCACAAATCTTTTTTACCCATACAAAAGTCTATTATCCGTACAAACGTCTATTATCCGTACAAACGTCTATTATCCGTACAAACGTCTATTATCCGTACAAACGTCTATTATCCGTACAAACGTCTATTATCCGTACAAACGTCTATTATCCGTACAAACGTCTATTATCCGTACAAAAGTCAACAATCCAAACAATCTTCAACATCCCAAACAAGCAGTACATATTCCAAACAAACAAGCACCGACATTCCAAAAACAAACAAGTCGTCGACATTCCAAACAAGCTTCGGGAAAGAAATTAATTAACATTCTCCTAAGGTGAAAGAAAATGCTAAACTTGAGCGAGAGACGAGCGGGGAAGAAAGGAGGCCTTATTTAGACTGAAAACAAGGGGGAAATTAGCGTCAAAGTGATGAACACACACACACACACACACACACACACACACACGCACACGCACACGCGCACACACACACACACACACACACACACACATTCTCTAAGTTATTTAACCAGAGATACGTGGTGTCTGTCCTGTCAGTCTGTCTCATTTTACTGTCTGTCTGTCTGTGTCTATTTTCTGTATGCCTCTCTATCTGTTTATTTGAAGATCTCTCTCTCTCTCTCTCTTTCTCCTGGCCCGGCAGCGTCCAACTCCCTCTTTGCAAATCACGACGAAGTGTCACTGCCAGACGGAAGCGGCTCGGGCTGGTATCCCCCTCCTCTCCTACTACCTCCCCCTTTCCCACTCCCTCTCTTCTCCCTTTCCTATTTCCCTATCTCACTCTTCTCTCTTCCACTTCCCTCCTTCGCACTCTCCTCTCTCTCACTTCTCTTTCTCATTCACCTCTATCCCACTCTGCTCTCTTCAACACAGTCCTTCTCTTCTATCTCCTCCTCCTCTTCCATACCCCAATTCGATTTTTTTCTCTATTTTTTCATACGCCCTTTTCTCTTCGCTTTGATGCTCCCTTTCCTTTCCCATTTTTATCCTTCTGTCCCGTTTTCCTTGTATTTCTCTTCTTCTTTCTCTAATCTATTTTATTTCCTGCCTATCCTTTTCCTCCCTATTCATGTTCACCCCCATTCTCTCTCTGTTTTTCTTTCCCCCATTCCAATTCCTCTATCTCCACCTATTTTCTCCCGTCCCCCTTTCTCTCCTACCTCAGACATTCCTTTCCTCCCTACACTCTTCCCTACTATCTCCTTTCCCTTCCCTTGTCATCCTTTCAACCCCTTCCCTTCATTTCCCTCCCACTGTCCCTTTATTTCCCCCTTCCTTTCTCATTCCCCATAGGCTATTGTATCCATACCCTAACCCTTCACCCTCCCTCACATCTCTACACCCATCTTCCTTATTCTCCCTTCTTTTTCCAAACCCTTTCTCCCCCTTCCCCCCCCCCTAGTCCTCTCCCATCCACTCTCCTCAGCAGCCCCCCCCACGGAGCAGCCACTCAGGGCAACAGACAATTTTTCCCGTGCTGTCCATCGCGGGCACCATTACCACACTCCTACACTTTCTCTCCATTCTGCTCCACACTCCAGAAATATGAATCGATTTTATTGAAAAAACTGCGGCGGGGGATTTTTTTTCCTTTTATTTCCGAATGTTTCCGTATTTATTTTATTTTTTACTTAGGTTTATCGAGTGTCACTGAGGAGTGCCCCATAGTCAGGGGTGCCATTCAGAGATGTCATTTTCGAGTCAATAAGGAGGGCCACTCTGGATTGTCGCCCGAGAGTACCATTCAGAAGTGTCACTCAGAAGTAATCACTCACACTGAAGAATAATATTGCTATTGGTAGCAAGTCATAAGTGTGAATAAATATGTATTCTGATTCTATGTATGGCAATAACACACAAGAATCACTTAAGCATACTCTTATTACGATCACCCAAGTCAACAAATAACTGATATAAAGAAACTGAATACGTCACAACAATACCACTAACGACGGAGTAACTGATGTAGAACAACGACAATTAAGACTTTCTAAACACTAGCTCATTTTAATCCCATTCTGACCCATTGAAATCACATAAACTCCACACTGTCATTTGCTAACCTCAAGCTCGCTGAAACACGAGTCTTTCTCTTTCAGCAGGTGAGACAAATGAGCCTCACTCAGCCTCAAAACAAAGAGGTAAAAAAAATACTACGATTTTTAACCCCGAGCGAGATAAAAAACGACTGTACCCCTCCACCAGGTGTTCGACACGAGCCACACTCGGTCTCTGAAATACGAGTCTCCACTTGTCAACACTGAGTGGGCTGAAAAACGAGTATCCCCGAGTAAATCTCTCCCAGTAGGCAAGAGAAGCGAGCCTCACCCTCACGTAACACCTTCCTAACTGTCTGTCTGTCTGTCTGTCTGCCCGCCGACGTCTCGTGCGTCATTACCTCCTCGGAGGTCGACGGGGTAGGATGTGCCTCGTGCCTCCCCAGACCTGTCCTACCTCCTCAAGAAACATTTCTAAAACCAATGATTGGGTCGTAAGGCGATGCTTTGATTGGATGGGGAAGCTGGTGGAGATGATGCTGTGATTGGAGGTGGTTCAAGAAGACGATGCTGTGATTCGGGGAAGGTCAATAGAGATGATCGTGTGATTGGACGTTAAGATGGTGTTGTAATGAAAGGGATATTGTAGTGATTGGTTGTAAGGGCCTCATGATGCGGTGGTGATTGGTTGTAGAGGAGATTATGACGCCCGGATTGGTTGTAAAGGAATTTGATGTCGAAACGTAAATAAAATAATGATGATTTAATTGGCTATAAAGGAAAGCAAAATACTATGGATGACACTCATGGTTCTTGTGTCAGTTTTATGTCAAGTGAAATGAGCAAATAATAAGGTTAGGTTAGGTTAGATTATACGTGAAGAAACCCTGAAAATTAATACCTAGTCTCTCTCTCTTTCTACACACACACACACACACACACACACACACACACACACACACACACACACACACACATTTATATCCAACTAGAACAAATAAAAATCTCCTCATGCAGTAGACTTTCCGCAACGCATTTTTTTTTCAGGTCATAATTTACATATTGCATATATTTCATTCAAATATTTTACACACTGCATTCATCACGGCCCCTTGTTGCATACACCACCGGCCGGCATATAACGTGTACATAAAAAAGGGAAAACAATCATGCACCATAAATGTGATGATTGTGTCGGTAGCTACATGTATTGTATTGTATTGTATATTATTCCTACAGCAAAGAATAACTGTAGCTACGATATACGAACCTGTGACTACATCATATATACCCCTGTATAGTAGTAGTAGTAGGAATAGTAGTAGTAATAGTAGTAGAAATAGTAGTAAAATTCCCATTCTTTTCCTCGTCTGTCTGTCTGTCTATCACTCTTTATTTTTGGGGGGGCGGAGAAGAACATTTTCCCGTGATACTCATTTTCGCTCCGTGACGGTGGGAGAATTAATGGCGATCTAATGAGTGAATTATGGAAATAGGAGCACAAGAGGCGAGTCGATGATGATGGTGACGATGAGAGATGAAGCACTGTGTTATTCATTTATGTTTTAAGGACCTGGTGACGAACACAGGTGACGAATACTACTACTACGACTACTATTTTTACTACGACTACGATTCTTTTTAATGGCCTCCAGCCTCCCCCAATAGCCACACCT